GTCCGCTGAACAGAGCTGCGAGCCTCAGATCAGTGGCATTGGCTGGCCTACGGGTTGTTCTTTATGGCTGTGTCGCTGAGTGGCTGGCTCTCTGCTGTGCACACGGCAGCCCTCCAGATGGATGCTGGGACAGCGGAGGCCACAGGGCTGAAAATCCCATCAAGCAGCAGTTCCAGCCCCTTGCACTGAGAAGATGAAGCGCACCGGCACACCAGGGGACACAGGCCAAACCCTTCTGCACCTCCATCACCCTCTCCCTCCTCCCCCCCAACCCCAATCCCTTCATGTACCTCTTTCCTTCCTCCCTTCATCCCTCTGTTCCCCTTTTTTCTTCCTTTTACAGGAGAAGACTGCATGCCCAACCAGCCAGAATATGGAGTGTGGCCCTTGGGGTCTATGGCCCTTGCTTGTTAAATAAAGGAGCTGACTGGCTGATTGATAGACCCTCAGCAGTGCCTGCACCTCACATGTTTCCCAGTTCGCTGCCTCATATATGAATCCTTTGCTGGTCAGGCCTGCGTTAGCATTTGTTAAATGCAGTATTTGATGGATGGCACCAATTTTCCTCCAAAACCTAGATGAGCCACCTAAGCACCTTTCCCACTCCCCTGGTTTCTTCTCAGGTAAAGCCCATGAGCGTGAGGGGACATAAGTGTGCTAAAACAGTATCAATCAAACAAACTTGTGCAAGGCTGCAGCGGCGACTCAGTGTTTCAATAACGCATACGTTCTGCCGTGCTAGACAATTCATTCCACCTCTTACCCCCACCAAGGCACAGAGGAGGTGCCCTGTCGGCTGTCTTCACCTAACTCCTTAATTAGACAATTCTGTCGCTATTTTCTTACACATATTACACAATAATTCATTACAGTATACTAAAATATATATTTATTTAATAATGTATTTTTCAGAACACTGCTAAAATGCTATTTATCAATACTGCAAAGCTAAAGGTGTTGTCAGTTGTTTGTTTTATATGATCAATGGTTATTCGTCTATCAGCTATTGATTCAGTGCGTAACACAAATCCCAAAGAAAGCAGAAAAAAAGGAAGTGCCATGAAGTATATTAACTTATTAAAGTTATTCAATACATAATTGGTCTTGCACGCTGTGCTCTACTATCACATCAACCCTCAAGCTGACAAATCTTGCTATCAGCACTGACTATGTCCCTGTAATGCCAGAGGCATGCTCTGAAATCGACAAAGGCTGCAGAGGAGTGTCAGCCTGATGCAGTGCATCGAACAGACAGGTGAAAAAGATAAACAGATGCGAGACCAGTCTCTGGGGTGTTGGGTTCATTTGTTACCTAGCGAGGACAGACATATTCCTGTCAGACAAGCCGTGGCAACACCAGATGCGAGGTCATTCTAGTTACGGAGAGAAAATCTTGGGTTAAGGACAAAGATTCTCACTTCACACAAGAGATGGCCATGAGGTTTTATTTCCCCTGTGGTCATCTACGATAAATGCTCATTCCACATTTAGCTCCAAGGAGCCAGAACGCTTTTTTAATAAAAGTGAGGCTTATTTGTCACTGTCACCTCCACAGTTCGGTTACTATGGGTGATCTGACAATAATTCAGACAAAGTATGTTCACCTAAAATTATTTTTGTGAATGAGTGACCTTATTTAGAAATGTAGAAAACATACGATTCATTAATTACTTTTTTTGTAGTGGTTAATGAACAGTAAGTCGAATAATAACATTTCAACAATATATGCAAACATTTCTGGGGGGAAAAGACAATTTTCCAACTTAATTGTGTTTCATGTAATGTCCTTGTTGCCAGATTTTCTCAACAACTGGATGTAATAACCCAAGGAATGTCTAACATTTTATAAGTGTTAGGTTTTTCTGTGAGAGAGATGTTTTTGATTTAATACACAGAGCGCAATCTATAATGAATAGTATGCGCTTTGCTGCGGAGGACAGAGAGCGGACACACTCACTGAAGTCTTATAGAGGATATGGGAAGGTACTTGAGACACACTGGCTTCTAACCAGAACAACTGGCGTCTCTCCTCTGCAGATGGACACACAGGTGGGCTCACAGGTGGAGAAGGAAGAGGGGGAGGGCTCTGCCAGTTTTGTGTCCTTTTTTTTGTATGTGTGCGCGCACGTCTGCTTATGTGTGCAAACGCTTGTGTGTGTGTGTGTGTGTGTGTGCGCGTGTGTATAGGTGCAACATCTGGACCATGGTCCACTGACATGTCAGCAAAAGGTATCATCAGTGAAGCTACACTGCACCCTTCTGGGCAACCGCAGCAGCACATGGCCTAAACAGTCTTCACGTCTAGGTTCGTTTTTACTGTCGGAAGAAACTTGATTAAGAGCTCTTAAGAGAGCTTGTTTTATTTAAATCTGTTTCCTTTTGTTTTTAACACATTAAAATACAGTGAACAACAACATTTAAGTATCTTTAAAAATATATAAACACACAGCTTTTGGAAACCTTAAAAGGTATGTTTCCATACACTGAACTAAGTCTTAAGATAATTAATTAAACTGGTATTTCTTCTGCATACAAGCATCTCCACTTCTAATCCTTTTCTCCTTTTCCAACCTTTCTCCCAGAAATCTCTCAGATGGTCCTAAAGCTCCTAAAGATCTTACATAAATTATTGTTCAGTCTATGAAAAGATAGGCACAGCCAAACAATATGATTGTAGAAAGAACACTGACAAATAATATTGATCCGGGGAGCGCACAGACAGCTAATCAATGAATGTATGTCCTCCCTGCACAGGCTGCAAGTCCAGATCAATTTTGAAGACAGATGAGACATTGGCAAATAAAGCGAAGTAGTTCTGAAGCATATCCCGCTGTTGTGAAATGGAATAAATTCCCAAAACATATGAAAGATCGACTCTAGCTATGAGGAATGGAGATGCCAGACTGTTTGAACTCAGAAAGAGCAGTCGTGTTTTATGCCGTAATTGTAATAAATATTGTGGCTTCTATCTCACAGTGTAGTAAGTTTATCTTTCTTATTCTTGGTGTCTAGTCATACACTTTTATATCACTTGCTCTCTGGCCTCACATCATGAACCACCTGATGATTTATTGATCTGAACACAGCCTCCAAATAACCCGCAGAATGGTTTCATCACCTTGTCATTATTGCCCCATGATGAGCAGGTTTCAAAAAGTTGGAAAAGTCCCTCAAGGGTGTCTCTTTCAATATTGAACTGATCAGCACATTAGTTTTCATGTATTGCAGACTTAAAAGAGGTTATAGGTTGTTACTGGCTTGCTGATTGCATGGTCAGCTTACTGACCTAAATTTCACATTATTTTTCTTCCATGCTTGTATCCTTAAGACTTCATTTATTTTGTGTGTAAAAAGTCAGGCGGGCATTGTTGGGGGATTAAAAACAACTGTCAGGTATATCTAACGATTTAATATTGATTTTTTTTTTTTTTCATGCAAAAGGTCTTCAAGCACAAAATATGACAAGCATGGATTCTTTAAAGCATTAATGTGCAAGTTTGCACCACCTTTCTTCAACACAGCCTGAACTCTTTCAGCTAAACTTTCTGGTAAGCAGTCTTCAGAAATAGTTCTCCATACTTCTCAAAGGACATTCAAAGCTTGTCTTTGGATGTCGGCTGCCTTTTGTTCTGTTTTCTGTCAAAATTATTTCACACTGCGTCAAAATGTTGATGTCTGGGCTCTAGGGAGGACAATTTATCTATCCAGGTATGCTTTTACTGTACTGTCAGTGTGTTTGGGATCATTGTCAAGTTTTTAGCTGCTGCCAATTAGATACCTTCCAGATGGTGTTGCATGGTGGATCAAAATCTGGCAGTACCTTTCTGCATCAGTTTTGCCAAGATCCTGAGACCACTGGATGAACTGCAGTCCAAAACCATGACAGAGCAGTTGTTCTGTTGTTGCTCTGCAGACACTAACTGCTGTACATCTTCTGACCTACTCCATACATACTGACAATTTGAACTGAAAATTTCATATAGTGATCCATCAGTGCATCAGACTTGCTGCCCCTGGTTTTCAGCCAAGTCTTTGTGTAATTTACCATGCCTCGGCCTTTTCTCTGTGTTCCACTTGCTTAAGGAGACCCCCCTTGACAACCCCCCTTAAACTGAGACCATTTCTGATGAGCCTTCAGTAAAAAGTAGATGGATCAATTGAAAGGCCAGATGCATCTCTCATGTCGTGTGTAAGGTCTGGATTCTTTTCCTATTTCTTAAGAACATGATTTTTAGACACTCTTCATCTGCTGTAATTTTTTAGGCCAGTTGCTTCTTTTTTTTTCTTTGTTGCAAAAAATGTATTTTATGCCTGTCAGCCTGTGTTATCTTTGGCATTTTTCATACATTCAACAAATTCTGTTTTTCTGCAACAAGCTGTAGCAACAAAGTGCCTAAAGATACAATTTAGAAAAAGGTTTTGTTTTTCGGTTCATGCCAAGTTGTCTGTGTAGTGAACACTGGTGCATCCCTTGAGTTATGTGCTTTTTTTGTGCTTGAATGATTATAAGTCAGAATTATAAGAATCAACTGGCTTAACAAACAAAAATATATTCCAGTGAAAAACAGTCACAAGGACAGGACTGAAACCAAGTCCGACTCCTTGGAAGCAAAATATAAATGAGGGATGGCTCAAGACTTTTACACAGTGCTGTACATTCATACAAACTGGCATTAGATATGCTGCCCTTTCACATTGGGGAAGAAAAAACCTTCAGTCAAAGATTCAGCTTTCAGTCTTGTTATGTGGCAAGATGGTCTTAGACAGAAATAGCCTTAGAGATTGGCTTGGCCCAGATGCTAAGTGAGAACAGCTATAAATAGGTAGAACAGCTGTGATGTCAAAAGGCAAAAACAAAATTCAGTGGATGTCAACATAGAAGCTACATTTCAAAAGGCAAAAGTTCAGCATGAACCCATAATAGGTCAAAAACAGAAACCATGAGAATATTTAAATTAATCCACACGAAGTCAAAAAGGGACATCATTAAAGTTGATTTATCCATTTATTCAATTTTAAAAGGATTTTGAATTTATGTCAAAATTTAAAACAAATGACAATGAAACAGACAAAACCAATAACAAGGTTGGGTTCTTGGATAGCCTTTGATATGCCAGTCAGAGGAATATGTTACTTAACGTATTCTAGTTGGATGAGAAGATCAATATCTGTTGCACCTCTTGATAATAGCATACATGATATTACATACTGTACTTTGATCTATAACTGTGGTGGAGGGAAAAAAATAAATAAATGGACATTTGTAGCTACATAGTGAAAAAAAATTATAGAAAAGCCTGAGGAGCAAAGACATCATGTTCTGCAACATTAACGTTACACTTCAACCCATTTACGCATCACAAATATTACCTCACAATCAATACATTCCCATTTCCAGAAAAGTTCAGATGTTGTGTAATATTTATATTACTGCAAGATGCATTTATATAAAATTGCGCCTTGTGAGTTGTATACTTTTTTTTTTTTTTAATTAACAGTTGAGCAATAGTTTTAAGCAACTTCTTTTATCAAGCCAATTTCTTGAACTCATAAGACCAAATGATGATGCAAATTAAAAGCAAAATGTTTTCTCTTTGTTTTCCCCTGACATTTCAGCTGCTCAAAACCTTGGTCTCCAGTATAGGCAGGCCAGTTTAGCACCAGGACTCTCCATGATCTTACTGAAATAGCCAAGGCCTTCCCTTAAAATAATATTAATAAAATAAAAATAAAAGCCATACATTGCCCAGAAAACTGTGTGCATTGAGTAAAATGTCGTTTAAACTGTGCCCTGCTAATAGGCAAATGAGTACAATTTTGACTGGCAAGAACACAGGACAGTTTTTCACTTGTCTTCATTCATTTTAAATGAAAAAAAAGTAGTGATGTGTGTGGATCTTGCTTAATATTTTTTCTTCTTCTTTGAATAGCAGAGATAATGTGCATTAACTGATACAATAACAATGTTTTTGGTCCAGTTAGTTTAATGAAGTGTCATTCTACCACCTCCAATTAAATATGGGCCTGAAGTAATTAGCAAATAGTAACAGTCTCTTCTTTTATTCTCTTTATTCTGTATTGACATTTCTTTTAAAATAGGGCTGTAATAAATGCATTTTAAAAAATCTAATAATCACTTTGCAAATAGTTATTAATAAAGGGCACATCACTGCCGTTAAATTAATCACACAAATAAAATCATTGTAGCATTACAAGTGATTATTAAATTATACTAAATTTACAACACCTATCATTTAAATTTTTTTAAATTATACCAAAAAAATGCTACAGAACTGCTTATTATTTTGGACGTGGCAAACACTGCATAAGACATGAAAGTATTACTGCCTTTTTAGCTGCATACAAGCTTAGCCAAGATCATTAAAAGAACTGCGAGATACTTCAAACGGCCTGAGAAAACCATTACCTGAGTCAGAAAGGACAACATTCAAAGCTTAATAAAAGGAGTCTCCTTCTTGTCTAAGAGTAGTTACATGACTCGGTGTTGCATTAGTGAGAGCTGTGCACTTTGTAATGATTAAACCTCAAGCACTGATTCTAATGAATGAAGCATTAAAGATAACTTCCTGAGAAGTATCCAATAACGACACCCCTTCAGTCATCCTCCCACCACAGTCTGTTTGGCTTAAGCTGAAATTCAAAGTGCTGCGAGGCTCAAATCTATAACAACTTTATAGCATTCACTGGCAATTAAGCTTAACTTCTTTCACAGTTAGTAAATCCTCTTTTTAACAAATGTCTCAAGTATGTGGCTTAAAGCAACACAGATAGTTTTAAAAATCTTACAGACACACATAAAAATATGCTTAACTAATGAGTTTTAAAACATACCTTCATTACTGTAAAATAATAAGTGGTTTGGCACATTAGTCTTGCTAGATCTGGTAAGACAATTAGCTTATGGTGGCCATTGTTGGCTAATATTGCATGCATACAAACATAAAAGATCGGTGTCTATCACATTTTACCATTTATCAAGATTAATTCTGCCAGACACCAGAAGTTATATGATTTCAGTTTAAATGACACTAAGCTATGATTCATTATACCATAAAATACTAAAGACAATGTTGTAATTATTAGTTTAAATCAAATTGGGGAGAAAAAAAATCAGCGATGATGAAGTTTTAAATGTTTTTGAGTGACAATGTTCACATTTGTAAAGTAATGTGCTGTTAAAATTTTAATTTCTATAAAATGAAAAAAAAAACAACAACATTTTTCCCCCACAAATCTGTCCATATAACATCCATCCACCCACCCAAAAGGACTTGTGAAGCTTGTCCCACAAGCAAATCGGAGCGTAAAATAATCAAGACTGTTATTTACCTGCTGCTACACCCAAAGAAAATAGGCAATTTCATCCAGGTCTACAGGATAGTCTGTGAGGTGCAATGGTTCCTTGATATCAAATCTCTCCCCCTTGTAGCTTCTCCAATGGCCAGCTGGGAGGTAGATGTCTCTCTCTTGCTTTCCAGGCTCTAAAACTGGGGCTACCATGAGGTCATCCCCAATCAGGAACTGGGAGTCAATTTTATAGGCTGTCTCATCACCTGTGGCAATCCACCACACTGGTCGTATGATTGGGTCCCCAGTGCTCAGCACCTCGCTGGCCAGCTCCAGGACCCTTGGTGCCACAAGACTTTCATGGAGGGCGGTGTATTTCCGAGCAATTTCAACTACATCATCGCCGTACTCCCACGGTGGAATAGAAAACTGCATAGAGGGCATGAAGGCTGATAGCTCCAACCAGCGGATATAAAGTTCTCGGTCAGGTAATCCACGATTTCCATATGTGCGGTTCACATGTGCATTCCCTCCAATCATATCTGGTAAAATGAACTGGTAGCCCAGAATGCTAATGGTGAGCACTGCAGGAATAACAGATTTGAGACCCAACTCATAGCCCCAAACTGAGTCTCTGTCAATTGGTCTGAAAAAGCAGGATATGTTCTGGGACTGGTAACCACTGCGCGCCTCAGCTCTGTCATTGTACAGGCTTGCCATTTCTGTGTAACGTCTTGTGAAAATACTCGGGTCCCGAATGGATTCCAAAGTCTTAAATTTCCATGGTAAGTAGTTAGCCTCTCCTGCCTCAAATTTAAAAGAGGACACCCCATACCTGGATCGCAGTGAACGTAACTGGGAGGCAAACCAATCACGGGTTTCAGGGTTTGTGAAATCCAAGATGCCACCAATGCCATTCCACCAACGCACTAAGGCTGACAGTTGACCTGTAGGCTCTCGGACAAACAATCCCCTCTCTACACAGGTATGGAAGTTTTCTGAATCATGATTAACAAAAGGGTGTATCCAGAGAGACACCATAAAATCATCTGACTTCAGTTTATGAAACATAGCGGAGGCATTGGGGAACTTAACTGGGTCAAACTCAAAGTCCCCATAGTGGCGGGAATAGCCATCATCTAGTTCCATTTGGCTACAATTGAAGTTATACTTCCGAATGTTCGCAGCATATGTCAAAAGCTTTTCTTGGTCAATGTCAGTTTTATGTAATGCCCATGTTGACCAACTGGGATGGCGAAACATAACTTCGGCAGGCACTTTGTTTGGCTTGTTGAAGTATCTGCGGACCATGTACTTGTGTATGGATGTTACATCCGATCCCACACAAACTCTGTAGCTAAGTTCCGCACATGGCATTTCCCCTGGGTTTGGCTTAAAGGAACTATCATTATACCGTGCTTGGAAGTACATGGTCTTCTCTGTGTCATTCCAACCCAAATGGAAGGGCACAGAGTTATTGATCTTGATGGCAGTGGCATTAGATGAAATCCAGTAACTCTCTAAAATTCCACCGAACTCATCACGATTCGAGTAGATGTCACTAGTAACAAATGGTTTTGGAGCTTGTTGGCCAGAAATAGAAATAGGCCAGTGTTGAACTGCTGACACTGCACCTCCATACCAGTGTGCAAACTTGTATGTCATTGCATGCTCTACGGGAATGTCAGGAACCACTTCCTCCCAGCGCACACGGTAGCATTGGACAGTATCCTTGGGCCGTACTGTCTCAATGAAAAAAATCAGTTTTCTATCTGTGGTGCGGACGCAGCTCAGAATCTCACCTTCTTTAGAGCAGGAATCTAAATCAAGGGTTCCTGACCTGTCAAGATTCAAAAGTAATTATATGCATTATCTCTTTACACAAATCTCACATTTCTGTTAAATGACAAAAAGTTCAGCACATATTTAAAATAAAGGATCTAAAGGTCTCATTTTTTCTGCATATGGAAACTTAAATAGCAAAAAAATGAATTGAAATACCAACCTGAAATCCATTCTGAAAACGATAGACCCCCCCTGGTTTCGGATGATGTAGCCATCTTTATTCAGATCCAGCAGCTCAGTCTTAAGCAGTTCCGCTTTGCGTAAAGAGCGTATGTAGTAACACCACGCAGTCACAGCTGCAATCACCAGCACTAGCCCGATTACCCCAGCTCCAACTAAGGGTCGAGTGTCCTTGCTGAGTTTCTGCTTGGGGATAACATCTGTAACTGTGCCCCCTGCTCCACCTGGCACCACTTGGTACATGTTTGTGCTGTTCAATGTGCAAATCTCAAAGTAGCTTTTCCACAGATCATCAATATGTTTTACAGGAAACCTCTTCTGCTTGACACTTGGAAGGTTGTCACATCTGTTTTTCTTCCTGCCATGACAACGATATACCAGTCTTTAAAAAAAATTAAAAATTGGTGACGATGCAATTTGTAGATTTCATATTAACACAGTATTTTGAGGAAATCAAACTTCAATTACTATTTTGATTCTTTATAAGAAAAATGTGCAGGAGTTTTAGTGCATCCATGTTTCTTTCAGTAACAAACAGTCAGAATATACCAATGAAACTATCAAAGGACCTCCAGGAAAACAACCCCAGCCCCATCGGTGCTCTCAGTCCTTCTTGTTTCCCTGTCAGTTCAAAGCCTCCACTACATTTCCTGCGTTGTCTTACATGCTCTGCATTGCTGAACAAAGTGATTTCACAGCACTTAAAGGTATTAGGCTGTCAGAATGTAAACTTTAAAGATGTGTTTGAGATTTAACCAAACAAATCTACTGCCAATTACCCATAAAAAAAATAAGTAGATGTTCCCAGCAGTAATTCTAACCTATGAGTTCAATTGAAAGAATACTCATTTGTATGTAAGGAGGCGCAGAAGCAGAAAAGGGGATTTGGGCCTTAAACCTCTGCCAATGTCAGGAAGGAAAGTAAAGAATACTAAACATTGTGTTCTATCAAGCCCAACAAGCCAAAACTCCAAGTAACCCACACATCATTCGGTGCAAGTTTGACAGCAGAGTAAACAAGTCTAAGAAAAAGAAAACAGACAGAGATCCATTTGTAGTGCACCTCCCAGCGAAGGGAAGGCAGAAACTCTTATGGGTAAACTAATTAATGGCTGATGTTAGTTATTGTGGCTTTAACTAATCAGAGGAGATCTGATAAGAATGCACAGCCGATCTAGCGGAGTTCAGTCCTCTCCAACTCAGCTACATGCTCACTAGTCCTAACTACACTTGATGCTCATGCTCTGCCCTGGCAGCAGGGGTCGATAATAAACAAATGCTGGCTATTAATTAGCAATCTAATTGACTGATTCTGTGTTCAACCAGCCCTGGTATAGATTTCCCCCAACAGCAGTAGTGATAACATAAGCCTATCATTAATTAACAGAGAACTAACTGCTGGTAGCTCTGAGATTCAATCAAGCTGCTGGACCCAGTTAGGAAATTTACCAAGAAAGTCAGAAGATGATTTACCATTTGTAAGAGTTATTTCTTCTTTATTGTAATGGAAAACTACAAGGGTGAGTTTAAGAAATTAACCTATGACAGTTTGTGATTTGATATTGATCATATCAGGCTGAAACCAACACTTTGTTCAACAATTAATAGGGTTTTTTCCACCAAGAAGTACCTAATTGTTTCATCCACACAATCCTGGAAAACTGTGCAAGAGGCCACAGTGACATCTTTCCATTTCTTACAAATATGCACGTATGTGTAGACCAAATGATTTTTGCTTAGTTTTATGAAGCTAAAATTAAAAAAATGATGTGGCCAATCCTTTCTGCTCCAGTTTCAACGGCTTCTCACAAACAAACTCAAAGTTTTCAAGTACAGCATGTTCTTCTTCTAAAAGCTTTACACTGCATTTTTTTTGTTTAAGGTATTATCAAGAGGGCTCATATGCACCATTTCAGCTGATTCACTATCTACCATCACATGGAGGAAAAACAAACAGTGAAGTGCTGATAAAATCAGAGCAGCCATGTGAGAAAGAAACCCTCCATCAGTCTAAATCTAAGCTCGTGCGTGTGTGCAAAATTGACTGTTGTGTGCTGTGGAGTTTTTGCTTATATATCTGTCTCTTGTTAACTGCATAAATCGTGCACTACAGACAACAACAGCGCATTTCTAAGCATGTCTGAGTCTGTCGATGTATAGAGAGCAGTCGTTGGTTTTGCGCCTTAGTGGGTGGTGCGAGAAAGAAGAAAAATAACACGTAATCCATGTGCACTATAATTTTCGCTCACACTTGTTGCCCTTTTCTCTTCGGTTTGTTAGATTTTAAATTACATTTATAGTTTATTTTTGGGTTTTTTTGCCTACCGATCAGCAGCAGTCCCCCCGTCGACTCAAAGTACAACTTGTTTGCTTCTGTTCACACAAACAGCCCGTGAAAGGAATCAAAGCGTGCTGCTGGGTCTCCGCCCTGCACACGTCCATAAACGCCTGGGAAATGTAGTTCAGCAGAAAAGCAGCGCTCTGTGTTTTCTCATTCTGCTGCGCATGTGACAGTGTTGCATGCAAATTACGCAATACTTCACAAAGAACCCGATGAACCTTAAAGTCACCAAAAAAGTTCAGTGTATACAGAAGGGAGGAGTTGATCCTTAACAAAGTGAGGGTAATGCTTCCTTTATTTGTATCGACAGTGACACTCTTTCCCTGCATTTGCTCTGGTAGTTGAAGACGGCATCATACTGTATCATTGTACTGATTTCCTTTTAAAGATTGACACACGTTTTCCTCAGAAGATTAAAATTTCAAAAACTCACGTACAGCACATTAGAGCCTCAGAGGCTCATTTGATCGTCAAAATCATCCCATGAGAAGATCTTTGGTACTGATTGAGCACTTAACTGCAAAAGTTTCCTTGCATTACACAATGAGATAACAGCTGTGCTTGTACACTCTACATGATTCACTCTTACACCTTGTCTCACTGGGTTAATTAACAGAGAATTAAGGAAAAGTTAACAATTGCTGGAGAGTAGCCTCAGGCTCTCCGTGGACCTCTTTGGGTCACCATCTTGGAAACCAGAGCTCTAATAATCCTAATAAAGGCTTTCAGACACAAACTCTGGGTGTATGATGTAGTGTCCAGCTTGGTAGGGCTTCACCACATGGAAACAGCTGTAGCAACCACTGCTGAGGAACCAAAAGAGAGAAAAAAGATTATCAGCAGCTATTATTAAATGCACCAAAACAAAAAGGGGGATATATTTCAATATATCACATTCGACTAAATAATCACCTGTTATCCCGGCTGCTGTTAGAACAGCACCTCTGGTATTTTGTCTGTACAAAGCTGCAAGGAGCTGCAGGAGTTTGGGCTCTTGTTTGAAGTGGAGCAGCTGTATTTCGCCTGTTCGAAAGAAGAAAAAAACTGTTTTTTAATAGAATTACTAGGTTATCAATCAATAATGTTCATCAGCCCTGAGACCATAAGAATAGGCCAAAGGTTATTTGCCTACCTGAGCTGCTGTGTTGAATGTGGATGGACATGCTTTTGATAACCCAGTCTGCTGTAAAGATAATCACTCTAAATCACTGAGTATTTATCTCTGGTCTGTTGATGGAATATACAGAATATATTTACCTTTGTGGGCTCTTCAAAGCAGTGCTGAGGTGGATGTCAGTGCTCGGGGAAGGTTCGGTCAGTTGTAGTTTCTGCAGTTTATCAGCAGAGGGCATGGCTTGTACTGTTGATGGGTTGACAGGGGGCATGTGTTGTGTTTTGTCGGTTGTATTTAGATAGCTGTCAGAACAAGTTGTAACAGGACCGTGAAATGAAAAATGTCTGACAGGGGGGAAAAGAGGGCGGCCGAAGTCCACAGGGGGCAAGGGATGAAGAAGTGCATGGGTTGACCTATTGTTTGACTGAAGGCTCCTGGGAAACAGAAAGTCCTTGGGAGGCAAAGAACAAATGGGACACATACATGTAAATTTTCTTAACTCTATTCATCCTTGGATGAATAAATAAGCATGGAGAAATTCCTGCATAATAGATAGGATACAGCTGTTATGATTCACAGAAAAATGTGCCCAACCAGTCAATTAGTAGGACACTTTTTTAATATAGCCAAACAAAATAGAGCAGTACGTATAATTGCCTCAGATTATCCTGTCTGCCTGAAATGAGCTATATTTTTCATATTTTCTGAATCACCTAGGGTGATATAGTATAACTTCTAATTTTGGAGACAAATTTGAAAAAAAAGAATAAAGAAATTCCAAACCACCCTGGCCTTTCATTCACTCAGATCACGTAGGCAGTATTGAAAGCTGTGTGTCTTACCGCCCGGGGCTGAGGGTTGTTCCTACGGTGGGCAGAGGTCGGTCGAAGTTGTGCTCTTTTCACTGTGCCTGGAGATCTGAACTGTTCATTGTACACTGTGATGTATAGTTGGGGAACCATCTTCACTGACTGCCTTACTTACTTTTCCACTGCTTACATCCAGATCAGTCTGCCTGAATGGAGCATGCAGCATCACTCACCTCCCCCTGACACCTGCTAACTCCACCCCTTCCCCGAAAACAGTGTACCTCCTCTTTGTATTACCTTTGTCTGTGTGTTTGTTTGTTTGTTTGTTTGTTTGTTTGGAAATATTGTCTAATATTTATGGGGGTTTATTGTTCCTCGAGTGTGATTACCACCTACTTCACTGTCATATTTTTATATTATTTATTCTATATTTATATAACAACATGACATTTCTCTTGCATCAGTAGTTATAAATCCTGCATGAAACCCTGTCAGCCTCCAAATTGATAAAACCTTTTGTTTAACCTGGAGCTATTCTGATTAATGTACTCTGTTGGAAGGAAAGCAGATTAAGGGCATCCTTGCTGAAGCAGAAAAACTCTTTGTGCTACCTGAGCACTCGGCCACTAATCCTCCTTAGCTGCAAGCCCCCTGCAGAGACACACATACCTGGGGTCACAGCCCATGACCTATTTCCCTCCCAGGGGCCTTCACAAATAAGCCACCACTGATCTCCAACACTTCTGGCCGTTCAGCTGCCTCGTAGTTAAAATAAACTCAGCGCTATCAGATCAGCAGAAAAGGAGTGAAACAGCAGAGAAATGGGGCTTCTAAAAATCTTCACCACCACCACCACCACCCAGTGTCACCTCTGTTCACTGTCAGCTTGCCACATAAGCATTAATAATTTACCAAGCGCTGTAGGGTGCCTTTGTGTCTCCAGCGCTCTCACTGACTTATCTGTGACAGGAACTGGCTGTTCATCTAGTGAAGTGGTTGGGGCCTCGTTTGACAGCCATGTTAAGCCCAGTCAAATCCACGCGAACAGATGCAGAGCAGAGGATATGGGGAATCATAGTAATGATCTGGCAGGAGTGTCCTTCACAGGAGCTCAAATCAGATCCAGGGCTGTGCGTTCCCAGCTTTGATACAGTTTTCATACAGCTTGAAACAACTTCTTTATTTCGTTTCATTTTGTTTCAAACGGCACACTCGGAGCCTGTTAATGTAAGTAATTTTCACAGTTAAGTGACTTCAAGTGTAATAAAAGGTACAAACATCTTTTTTTAAAAAAACAAACAAACAAACAAAAAATTTACACTTCAAAGTAAATTCCCATTTTATATGAGATCCATATGATCATGCAAAGAGGCTTCCTGCTGCACACCCGGCAAATGTCCAACATGTGCAGAGCTGACTTCAAAGCGCTTGTCATGGAGTCGGTGGTCGTAGTCGTAGTGGATTCAGTGGTGCTTAGTTTTAACTGCTGCTTTTAGTTTTGTGTAGAGAAAACCGAAATTCTGTTAAAAGAGAAAGAATAGGTTATTTTAACCTGGTAGTGCTTTTAGACTACGCAGAATGACGAATAAACAGTGCTGTAGCTGCACTGTCTACAGTTCCTTGTAAACAGTGCAGTTACATGGAAATATGAAATACAGTATGATTAGATAATATAATATGGACGTCAAACCGTGCATTAACACACCTGGATTGCGTAGTAAACAATACCCAGGTAAGCAGCAATGCAGCCTCCCAGGAACAGATCAAAGGCAGCAGGCTTCACTCTGAATTAAAAAATGCACATTAGAGTTTTAATGGCTTATTAAATTTAACATATACTCTAAAATTTAAAAACAGATATAATAATACCGATATCTACCTGTACATGACTATTGGTTGGCTCATTTGATCAAAGAAGGTAATATCAGGATCCCTGCAGGAAGAAATGTTGTTGATCATTATTATTGTTGTCATGGTATGAGCAATTGGATTGAAAAGATGTGCTTTCTACTCAGATAGCTGTATTTTTTTTTTTACCTCTTGTCCTGTCGGAAGGTGTGTCTGTGGACTTGCTGCAGATAGCGCTTGAATTCGTGCTCCAGTGAGTTGACCAGCAAGATATGACTGGGTTCCTTATCCAGCAGCTGAGTAGCCCGAGGGACTGATGTCAGGAAAGACATCAAACTGGAGATACGACTGTCCTGAATGTCCTGAATTACAGATTTGGATGTGGGTTTTGCAGAGGGAAAAAAGAAATCACACAAAACTCAGCTTCTACTCTGCATGTATTGGTTCTTATGATTTAAAAAATAGACTCTGTTTAGACTTTTTCAGTTACATGTAGATATAAATCTTTAAGAAATGACATTAAAACATGTTTGAATAAATAACCTCAGTGATCCATCCCTAACCTTCAGATGATTATGAGGAATAAGCTGCTGAAAGACTCAAACACTGTGTCATGTCTCTAAACTAACACCAGAGGTCAGCACTTCTCTGTACATACCAATCAAAATAACTGGGAACTTACCAGCTGGCCCTTGAAAACTTGCACATCCTTTGGTGAACCCTTGTGAAAAATAAACACACAGTAATGACACATTAACATGGCTATTTTAAAGCAATGCTGACGTAATGAAAATATACTTTCTGCCTTTATTATATTTACAGTATGCTGTGTTTTCATGCATTCAGTCACCTTGTCAGAGAGATTGTACATGTAGCGGGCCAGCGCTTCTGCTATGATGATGCCATTTCGCTTAAGTTTCCGGAAATCCACTTTTGACCTAGATGTGATAGTCACATGAGTAAATATCTTTTAATGCCCTGTGAAAATACACTTAACTCAACAATCTGTTGGACAAAAACACAGTTTTGTAATTTTGCTTATGTACACCACCACGGTGGATTTTAAACCAAACAATCAAGACGTGTTTGAAGTGCAGGCTTTCAACTTTGATTCAGAGGGTTTTATATGATAAAAATCTGCATTTTGAACTGTGAACAATGAGTTTTGCAGCATTTGGCTGAATCTAAGTAGAAAGTATAGCCCTGTACACTTCCAAATTCATCCTGCTGCTTACATAAGCAGTCACATCATCAATAAGCAATAGTGACCCAGTCCCAACGTCTCCCACACGTGCCTATGCTATAACATTGACTCCACAATGTTTAACAGATGCTTCAGATCACGAGCTGTTTCTATCCATCTCTGCACTTCTGTCTTCCCATAATTCTGGGACAAGTTCGACTTTGATTCATCTGTCAAAAGACTTTTTTCCCCACAACTGGGTAGGCTCAGATGTTTCAGATGTTTTCTGACAAAGAGTAATCTGGCCTCCCTTTTCTTTATTATAACCAATGGTTTTCACCCTCTGTACTTCCATCCCAAAGGCTTCTTTAGATTGTAGATTGATCCATGATCTAGCTCCTCAAAAGTGTTCTTGACTTGGTTAGATATTGTGAAGTTGTCTTAACCATGGAAATAATTCTGTGATCATGTACTTTAGCTGCCTTTTTTGGTCTAACCAAACCACAGACCCACACCTTTTTAAGAATATACTGTGCAGTCTCTCTATGATAGTTAGTTCTGAATTTTTCAACCTAATGATGGCCTCCCTCACCTCCACTGATATCGCTCTGAGTCTTATATTAAAAATTACAGTGAAACACTATAAAACAAATTGAATGCTTTGAGTCAAACTGAGATATTATATCTGCTTCATTAGTCATGAAAAGCAAGGGAACAGTCCTCAGCTGGCTATGAGACTGCTTGTCAGTGTATTGCCTAATTAATTTTGAGCCTCTGAAACTGAAGGACTGGATATATAAATAAGTGTCTGTCGGTGTAAACCTTTTGTAAAAGCTGAAAAGCTGACTTTATTCACACATTAATTCTTTTACTTAAAATACTCCACTGTGGTGTATAGGAACAAACAACCTGGGCCTCAATGCTCTTCAGGTAGCTCAAATACTACTAATAATAATATCCATAAACAAAACTTGCATGATGTCTAGCATAGAGCCACGAAGTTCAGATTTAGGATCTTCCAGATGAGACAGAGTGAAGCCCAGGATCCTGCGTAGGCTGTAGCGCTCATGCTCCCAGGCTACAGTAGACTCCACAAGATTGATCTTTTTATGAACCAA